GCCGGCGTGCGTCCACCCACCGCACACAGCCCCGCTGATCCCCACTGGATTCACCCAGTTACCGGGGCTGCCTACTGCTGCGGAGAAACCTGCGAGGCTTTAGTGAACAATAGGCATGAGACTAAACCTCAAGCAGCTCTCTCTAACCGAAGCCTTTTTGTGTTTGGCAGATTGGTTCAAGTGAGTAAAAACTACCGATCGGTGATAAGAGCCTGTATGGAGGACATGCACCAGGCAGCTAGTAAGTTTGTTTGTTCTCTGACTGCAATAAAAGGAAATGCCATTTGTGATTATAAAAGTAGTACTTCAATTGTCTGTTATTGCAACTACTGTAAAATAGCATGCATAGATTTCAGTAATTACTAAGACTCCGCTTCCATCCGGGAGATTTCCAAGCTGGTTTGTAAATCTGGTCAGAAATTTTTTTTTTCCCCTCACTATGTTTTAACTGATTTTCTGGGGACTTGCAGCCTTTTCATATATCAGGTTGCAGTTTTATTGGAAACTGAGTCCAAATTAACAGCTTGCTCCCACCAAAAAGTGGGAGATTTTACTCTTCCCTTCCATCTGTGCCCTTGTAGCCATACCCAGATTTGCACAGGATTTACAAAAAAAAGTTAGGAAGTTTTATATAAAAGTTTGCTTTGCCATGTGTGTACTCACTTAGGTCTTTGCTTCATGAGTGAGCAGGCATTGTTGTCTTTATTTATGAGCCCAGAAAGGGCTGTGAAGGGTAAATATGTTACTCTTTGTCTTTCCTTATTCTTTCTTTAGTTTCAACCCGGGACCCTGCCCTGCACAGCCAGTATAGCACTCAGGTAATCTGCAGTCCTGTCATGTAGCCACAACTGAACATGAATCACTGGCTAGTAAATTCATCAAGACCAACACTGTGGCAGTAAGGCAGTTTAGATTTAACTCTGGCTTAGTACATTGGATGCGTTTTGTGACCAAGAATAAATGGGAATAAATAGTTGGCTCCTGTACTTCTAAAACAATAAGAAGATGACCAGCATCTGGATTCACTGCCATTTCTTAAACATATTTTCAGTATTATTAGGTGTGATGTTTTCTTGTCATCTTAAAGCCAGCTGTGAGCCAGTACTCGCCTGTCTGAAACTTTACCTCTCAAACACTCAGGTTCCAGTCAACTACATCTGAGCCTCATAGCAAGCTCTAGGTGTTCACTGTGAACTGTTGGACACTAGAAGTGTGTTATGGGAAGAGCACATTGCTCACAGTAGTTTTGTCCTATTAGCTGCACTGATGTTGCTTTATTGGCCTTTCTTTCTTTCTTTGCTGTTTGTATTGTTAAATCTTAGGAGAGCAAAAAGGCTGAAAATAACACTTTCTGTACTATTTAGTATTGCCCACTGATGACAGATTATCATTGCATTTCAATACACAAACAGCTTCAATATTTTCTAAGCTGAATGTGCGTAGAGAAGTTGCGGCCTGTTTCTGTCTTTTATTTGGTATCTCTGAAGTGTCAGTATGACACTTCTCTTGTCTGCAAGAACTGAGCTTAACTGATTGCTATGGACAGCAGATGCCTTTGTGTGGTTAAGAAAACCTAACTGGAACAATTACTAAATCTGAAGCATGGCCCTGCTTTTTTCAGGTTTCTATTCTCTCTGCAATGGAGCTGATCTGGAACCTGTGTGAGATTCTGTTTGTTGAAGCAGCTGCAGGTGAGCAGTAAACTGTCCTGATGTTAAGACTGAAGGGCTTTTTTTTTCATATTTATTTGTTTAAAATGTGTATAGTATCCATTGTGTCATATTTTAATATGTTTTAGAGATATAACAAGTGTCAACAAGCCTTTTAATACCTCTTCTGCCTCAGTAAATTGCCTTCTTCATGTTGAATTATGTCAAGCTATTAGATTTGCCTTCTTTTTCCCCTCATGTGTAGTTCACTACAATTTAAATTGTCTTTTTAACAGAAAGGTAGTGAAGAAGAGGGATATCAAAAGTTGTTGCCAATTTGACTTTTAAGCATAAACACATCTTTAAGTGTCAAATACGTTGATGCTAACATTTATGCATTCTCTGACGCAACTCCTTTAACTTTAGGATGCAATTTTTGAAGTCAGTTTGTTTACACCAGCATTTTAAAGTAGTAAATAATTTTTTAAGGAAATGGAATTATGCAAACAAATCTGCTACTTTCACAGTCCCAGAATTCAGAAGAGAGATTCACAAATTGTAGATTACTTAATCTGAAGAAAAACACCTAGTACCAGATTTCCTCCTCATATTCAGTTAATAATAACGAGCTGATGCTAAATTAAACAGAAACATTCTATGTGTCTTTTGGCATTGTGAGATTTATGATCTGAATCACTCACCTTTTGTTTCTTCAAGTAACTCATTAGGGTTTTCTGCTGGACTCCGCTGCTGTTCCGTCTAAAATTTCCCACACAAATCTGTCAGCAGCCTGGTGCTCCCACAGCCCAGCTACTTAAGGAACTCCATTCCTTCGTAATTTGAGTGTGGCAGATAGAAATCCCATCAGTAAACCTCATCTAATGATTGTCAAACCATTAAGGTTAGAAGCATGTAAAATAGCAGTTTGGGAACAAACAGTTGGGAACTAACAGTGAAATCTTCTCTGCATAAAGCTGGTCCCCTTCTGCTTCGCCTCCTTGACTGGGTTCGACTTCATGTCTGTGATGTGGACAACATGGTCCGTGAAGTTCTGAGCAGTGAAAATCCATCGAAACACGAGCTCTTCTGGAATGTGGTGAGTATAGTCACCTATAAGATTCTTAAACAATGATAATTCACACCTATGTATTTTGCCTTCCTCCTCCCCACTCAACACTAGACTACATCTTAGGAACTGATACCTAGGACACTGCTGCTGTCTGCCTATACAGGTTTTAAGATGAAGCCATTCAGAAGATCATCCTACCCCTCATTCCCATCCTTTCACTTTCATGCTCCATAGAGGTCAAGACTTACACTGTGTATTTGAATTAGCAGGGCCTACAGTTTAAGCATTTTAACTCCACTTAACTTGCCTAAATCATAAGTTAAAATTCCCCTCTGATACTCTTCCTGGGTATTTTGTAGCCTTGCACGGTGTGGTGCTCACAGACAGGTGGATTTTGCAGGTGGATGTCTTTGTGCTGCAAGGCCGAATGGATGAAGCACGGCACTTGCTCTCCAAGGAAGCCAGCGCCAATCCCGCGTCGGTGAACATGTACAAAATCTTGGATGACTTGATGAAGAAGATGCCCATGCCCAGTGTATGTACAAAGTGGATTTTTTTCATGCAGTTCCATTGGGAAAAGAAATAAGAGCGATGACAGTATTAGTCCAGTCTGTTTCATCTCTGCTGTGGCTCCTGTAACATCACAATTTGTTGACCATTAAAACATCTCAGTCTTAATCCTTCACAATAATAATATTTCTGTTCTTGAATTGCCCAAAAGACCCAACCATACAGGCAAAAACCTGTTAGGTGACAAACCAACACAGAAAGATAATTTTTGCAGCAGGATACGTTATCCAGTTGTCTGAAACAGTTCCTGTTGAGAACTGTTCTCCTGTACAGAATATTTACTGAAGACTTTGCCAGCAAAATTCCCCTCTGCTGCAGTGATCTCCTTGTGGAGGAAAAATTGCAGCTGCATCATGGTAATCTTTCACGGGATGCTCTTAAGATCCTTTGCCTTATTTAGCTGGGTAAAGACACTTCAAATACACTTATAGGGCAAGGAAAAATTTGATGGTAGCCCTGTGTTTAGCTTTTTAGCATGAATGACTATGAGTTCAGCCCAAGCGCCTGTTGTAATTTGACTTGGTGTTTTCTTTATTTTATGTATCTTACCTCTGTTCAGCTTGGCAACACTCAGACACTGACCGAGATGGAGCTGAAATGGCAGCACTGGCATGAAGAATGTCAGCGGTATCTACAGGATGGAACTTTTGCGTCCAATTCCCACATGGAATCCATCTGCAAGGTGTGTTTTTGCTAGGAAGGAAGGAAACTGTGGACAAGTATTGGATCCATCCTTGTGTATTTCAGGAGCCTGTGTAGCCATAAGTAACTGTAATATGCTGGATGATCCGTTCATTAAATCAGGAGATTTCAAGCCAGTCTTTTGTACAGCGTTCTTTGTTTTGCAAGCCTGGGCAGATCATTTTCTCTTTGTGTCCAAGGCCATAAGGGGAAAATGAGGAAACTAGGCTCTGAAAAGGATCTTTGTTCTTTGTTATTTAATTTTGATTCAATTCTCAACTTGGCAAAATGGGAGTAATGCCTCTGAAGAGTTACAGTGCAGCTGTGTACATTGCTGAATTTGCAGAATTACTCCTATGCTTTTCTCCTGTTAGATCCTGCTGGGAGATGAGGATGCCATACTGGAGAAAAAGGAACTCATGACTACTTGGTACCACTTTCTGGTTACCCGACTCCTGTATTCCCATCCAACTGTGAAGCCAATGGAACTGCGGTTTTACGCACAGGCATGAAGTAGAATTATTTTTATATTCTCCACTGTTTCTTGCGCACAAGGGTTACTGTATTTAAAGAAGAACTTTGCGGGGCTTGACATCTTACAGCAACTACATACCTGTAAGATGTTTCCTAGAATTTGTAAGTGGACGGGGAGACTGACACAGTGGACAAATAATTGTTGAAGACGCAGTCTCTTCAGTGTCTAATGTTACCAGTCTTGTTCCTGCGAACTGTTTTCCCTGTTTCCTTATGCTAAAATAAGGAAAAACCTTTTTTTGTTCATGTGTTCAATTGCAGTGACCTATTATTTCCCATAAAATAACCTAAACGAGGCTGCTACATCCAAACAAATGTCTTTCTTTCACCATCTCACAACTTCTGCATTTATCCTGTCTTTTAATCTCATTCCACAGTCTAGTATGGACCTATTCCTGGGTGGAGAAAGCAGCCCTGAGCCTCTAGACACGATTTTAATGGCAGCCTTTGAATTTGAGATGCATCAAGTGATCAAGGAATGCAGGTTGAGTTTTAAGGTTTTTGATTCTCTAGTTCTACAGTATTGCTTCTGTGTGCATTTACTCCAATAGTATTTGGCTTAAAGGATATGGGTACAGCTCACCTGATAATCCTTTCAAAGAATTTTGCAAAAATACGTGAAGCAGGCAGCAATTAAAAGTATTCCATTAGGTCTGGAACATTGCAGCCAGATGTTATACTGTAATATAGCTTCTGTATTAGTAAGCAATGTCTGTGGAAAACCTGACACATTCCTTGGCAGTAGTAGGCTTAGGTTTTTTTTCTTTTGCTTGCTTCAAATACAGCATTGCCCTGAGCAACTGGTGGTTTGTGGCTCATCTGACTGACCTGCTGGATCACTGTAAACTCCTGCAATCTCACAATCTCTAGTAAGTTTTTATTTGCATTGATTATTCAGACATCCAGCAGCAAGGATGACTGAAATAGCATGTGGATTTTGGTTGAAAAGGAGCATACAGAAGATGGAGGATAAAGGTGCTGCATGTGCCTCTGAAGTTACAGGCAGTCCAGGTGCTCTGAGAAGCAGAAGCATTTGCTGACTGGATGAATCTGACATGCTCTTCAACAGTGCCTCAGTACAGTGTTAGGATTTAAAAAAAAAAAAAGTAATTTTATCTGAAGTATAATCAAGGGTCCAAGTGTTTGTGATTATTGGGAATGGTGAGAAACCTATCTAAAAAGAGTTTCTGTACTTACATTCTGAATAAGTTTGAGCAATTGAATTTTGCTATCTGAATTGTCTTGAAGTTTCACTTTCTTGCAGTTATATTTGCTAAGTGCTGTAAATATTTGGCAGGTCTCCCCCAGGAGAAAGCTGACCTGCATGCTTAGGCCTGAGGTACAAAGCTTATTAAGATAGCCCATGAGAAAACATGCTGCATACGTTAAAAGTACTTGTGCAATAAAGCCAGCAGTTTTTTCCAATGAGGTGCCGATAGTAATGCCTGTTTCTTTTCTCTCTTCCCCCCAGTTTTGGTTCAAATATGCGTGAATTCCTTCTGCTAGAGTATGCTTCAGGACTCTTCTCCCATCACAGGTAGCAACTTTTTTTTACTCAGAGGATAGACTAACATCAAGGCAGCCAAAACAAGGAACTACATGTTAATGAAGTAAAAAGGCAAAACTTATAGAAGCCACTGTTAGGATTTCAGCAAAGGTGTCCCTAAGGGATTGTACAAAACTAGCATGTTTCCTTTCCTGAATGAAAGATAAAAGCTGTCTATTAGAACCCATCAAGTGTTTTGACCAGGGCAGAATTACTCCTTCCACTGTGGCTTTTTGGTACAGAGCAACTTGTACCAAAGCACTTGTGAGATGCAGGTATTCCGAAGTTGTATAATAGGCAGCTGGTATTTGGTAGAAAGTAAAAGCCATTTTTGGTCTGAATACTAAGTTAATCAGAGCTAACTCTTATTAATGCATACTCAGATTCTCCTTGTGGCTTTACTGTTGTGCTTATTTATGATTGGAATGCTTGATGATTTTTTTTTTCCCCTCTCAGCCTGTGGCAGCTGGGGGTAGATTATTTTGACCACTGTCCAGAATACGGCAGGGTATATTTGGAGCTTCATATTGAGCGGATACCTCTTAACACAGAACAGAAGGCCCTCAAAGTGCTGAGGATCTGCGAGCAGAGACAGATGCATGAACAAGGTGATTGATTTTTAAATCTCATTGTTTTGTAGCAATACAAGTGAAACTACTGAAACTAATTCTTTCCCTCTTCTCCTATGTTTTCTCCTAAGTTCGTAGCATCTGTAAAATCATGGCCATGAAGGCTCTGCGGAACAATCGCTTGGGCTCTGCCCTGTCGTGGAGCATCAGAGCTAAGGATGCGGCTTTTGCTACACTAATATCTGATCGGTGAGTCTGAGTCGGAAGCTCTCAGATGACTGCTGCTATAGTGGGGTGGTAGGAAGGGGAAAAGGCAGCCACTCTGCAATGGACCAGAAAAGATCCTTGCAGCAGGCAGATTGGGATTGTCTTTCCCTCAGTCCACGTACCTGCTTCTGGACTAGAAAATTACATACTTGGGTGCTCTCATCTGCAATACCCCAGCTGTTTCTTTTCCACATTGTTTTACTTCATGAAATCTAGATAGAGGTGAAACAGACTGGCTTTATCTAACAGTCCAATCCTCTTAGACCTTGCTTTGATAAACATTTATTTTGGCAATATCTCTCTCATGCACTGCCCTTTCACTTGCTCCAATATGGCTCTATGATGGGCTGTACAGTGAACCAGGGAACTGATTTGGATGGAGGATAATTCCCTTCTGTGCTTTATTCAGATTATTTTTAACCAGTCTCCATACAAGTCAGTGGGAGCCACTTAAGCCACCATTTCTGCAAAAAATCTCAAGCCACAATTATATATAAAAAAGAGTAAAGTTTTATTGTGTCCCTGGTTTTGCATAAGCTTGTCACAGTATCTGACCTTGCATGGGTGGGAAGGTTGTTACAAAACTGAAGAGGGTGCTAACACTTAGCTTAGGCCTAGACAAAAGATATGGCAACTCTCATTATGCTTTTTAATCTAGCAATCCATGTCATGTATTTTTTTGCTAATTGGAAATAGGCAGGTACCAATCTCTTTGCATACTTAGAGTATAATTTTGAAATTACACTCTGGTTAGATGGCCAGGCAATACTCGATCTTCAGCAGTGAAAAAAGGGAGTATTAAGAGATTGCTGGGTTTTTTTTTTCATTTATTCTTTGAGGGAGTGGGAATCATTATGTTTCTTTCAACAGAAGGTGAAGAAAACCATCACAGGAAGCAGCTCTGAAAACAGCAGCATAATGAAGGCAGTGACAAAACAGATGAAAAGTTTTTAGAATTGTTTTTGTTCCTACTGCTTATCAACTTTTTTACACAGCAGAAAAATAGAGCTTTTGTTATGACCTGGGAGTGTTCTTTATGCATCCACCAGCCTCAGCTTCCTGTGCTCCCTCCTTCACTTACTCCTTTTCAAGAATAGATCTCAACTACCACAAAATCTAGAAGAATAGTGTCTGTTAAACGCACATTACATCAGTTCATTTGGCACTCCCAGGAAATGTTTTGATGTCTTCTGAAACCCTCACAGGAGGTTGATTAAGATGTAACTCAGTTGTGTAGTAAGTTTTCTGGGAAGGGATTAGGAGATACAAAATGAATGTGGATGATGTTCTTCCCTCTAAGCTTTTATTGTTCTACTTTCTCCTTAGATTCCTTAAGGACTATTGTGAAAGGGGTTGCTTCTCTGACTTAGACCTCATTGATAATTTGGGACCATCCATGCTGCTTAGTGACCGGCTAACATTTCTTGGTGAGAAGTGTCTACAGTTTTCCTTCTGGTCTGTTATTTAGAACATAGCTAACTCCACAGAATTATTTGGATTTGTCTCTTCCTCCATCTGGCGACATTCTGTTTTAGTGATGAGGGGAAAGCAAATGACTGAAGGTGATTAGGGATGCAGCCTGCTTGCTACCAGGAGACTGCCTTTACCACTGCACTCACAGTAGGCTTCTGTTCTGCAGTGCTCTGAGCAGGATAGTCTTGAGTTCTGACATTTGTATGCTTCTCCTTTCTTAGTCTTTTTCCAGACTTTATCACTACCTAGGGAGACTTTGAAATATTAGCAAACGCAATCTGGAAGACCTTCGGAGGCTTCCTTGGAAGAGTAAACCACTGGTTTAAGTTACTTTGACAGTGTGATAGTTTTACTAACTACATAAAGGTCTCCAAAATCTGAACAACTTTTGTTGGTTCAGTATGCCAATTTCAAGCTCACTCAAACAAAAGATCTCTCCTTCCCTTTCACTATAGCAATTGTGCCAAATAACAGCGGAGGGCCTCCAGCGAGTTTCCTTCACATACCACAGCTTCCTTCTCCTGGCTGGCAGAGGTGTGGGCCGTGGTAACCTGCCCATCTGGCTGCAGCTGCTCTGTGGCCTTTGATTAATGGACCAAGACAGGAAATGGAGCTAAAGTGCACCTTTCTCTGGAGCTGTGGCAGTTAGTTAGCAAGCCCAATTACTGGAGCCAAAATCTAATAGGAATTGGGAACAGCTGTTGGCAATTGGACTGACTCCCTTCTGGCTGACAGCAGCATTACAGTGAAGGTGATCCTGAATTTGATCTGTTCCTGTTTGGTCCAAGCTTGCAAAACTGGAACTGTATTTCCTTCATTTAAACCTTATCCTAAATTAAGCTTAGAAGGTTAACTGTGACTTACCAAATCGGTAATCCCTCATCTCTCTGCATGCCCAGTGTCACCCAGTGACCCTTGCATCAGCCCCAAAGATTTGTAGTTTAGTTGTGTAACTGTGTTTATAAGCTACGTTTATAGAGAAATTACTTCCCTTTCTGCTTGTTATAAAAAGTCCTGAAAGGCCTGAAAATATTTCTGCTTGTTTTTCCTTTGGAGGTTTTAGAAACATCAGGTGCATTTTTGCTGGACAACTTTCACATGTCTCTATCTTGAGCTCAAGCATTAGTCAAAGGTGAATCTGAATGGGAATCATTACTTTCAGTATTTTGACAGTTTAGTGGATACAAACAAAGCCGCAGAATAAAACTCACTTTCATCCTCAGCCAGTTCTCACGTGCTGGATAGTGATGTAACTAATTCTTAGCAAAAGCAGAACTTTCCACATCAACAAAGATCTCGGTTTCCATTTAAACAATCAGAAACACAATGAAGCCTTTCAGACCTCCTGATACTCTGCAATATCAAAAAGAACATTCACTCCCTGGCCTCTCCCCTCCTGTTCCTGGTTTTCGCAGACGCCACCAGTCTCTCCAAGCCACTGGTGCTGTTGCTCACCCTGAAAACACTCAGCACCAGACAGTATCAGTTAGCAAACAGGCTGGTTCAAACAGTTAACCTCACCAAGAACAGTAACAGGTTTTTGGTTGCCTTTTCAGCCAGCCTGTATTTTAACCTTTCTTCATGCACAAGATTCCCATTCCCCCAGACTCAGCTGCTTTAGAGACTCATTTCAGATGGGGATAGTTCTACCACAGGCTTCATGGGAGCACACGGACCACCTAACATCCACTAGCCCAGGCCTGAGCAGGTCTGACAGACACTGACGCCTTTTACCCTTCACCAACACCCGTGCGTAGGCAAGTACCGAGAATTCCACCGGCTGTATGGGGAGAAGCGGTTCTCTGAAGCTGCCAAGTTGCTTTTGATGTTGATGACGGCTCACATTGCTCCTTGCTCCTTCTGGATGACCCTGCTGACAGATGCCCTTCCCCTGCTGGAGCAGAAAGAGGTGAGCACGCTGGTCACGGGTGACAAAGCCCCCCACCCCATTTCTTTTCTTCCTGACAAGGTATGTGGAAGTGGTGACCCCCTTTCTGCCCCCAGGTTAGGACTTGCACTTGCAGTGCAAAAGAACTGTTTGTGGCAGTTCCAGAATTGCACAGCTATCCAAATGTCCTGTTGGTGGGAGCACACAGGACCCAGGATAGGATAATCAACTCTTAAGAAAACAGCAGCAGAATACGTACATACTGATAATTTAAGTACATGCTGCATCCAGTTCCTTCTGGTACTTGGCTTGAAGATTTTTCTACTGTGCTTCCTTCTTCTAAGCCCAGTTTTTGCTTTAAGATCCATCAAGAAAATGACAGTTTAGCAATTACAGACCCATACTGGATAAAGCCTAGAGCACCTGCTCTGACCTCATAGCTGGCCCTGTTTTGCACAGGAGGTGGCATTAGAGACCTCCCAAAGTCACTTCCAGTCTGCATTATCCTCTGATCCTGTGATTTAAAGGGTCAGAACAGATCTGTGGGAGTGCGGAAGCATTATCTTTTCAGACTGTGCGATGTCGTTAAACTTGATCATTTTCAGTGAATACTTCCATTTCCACAGGTCATATTTTCAGCAGAGCAGACTTACGAGTTGATGCGATGCCTGGAAGACCTGACAGCAGGGAAGTCGGATAAGCAGAAATTCCAGGTAGCTCCTGTTTTGAGGACAACTGGATAATGAATCAGTGGGTCTGTGGGGAAGGTCAGGGAAAGCAAGCTCTGAATTTATATTTCTCTGTGGGGGCAGAAAAGAGGGAGAGCCTGAGCTACTGAGGCTGGTGTGTGTTAGTTTTAAAGGCCAGCCAAATGAGGCATCATCAAAAAATATTTAAATATACGCAAAACCAGTACAGGAGTATTTCCAGTCCTCACTGTGCTGCTGATTTGGATTGGACTGTGATGCTCTTCCAAGATAAATAATTGCAAATTACATGGGCAATGAAAAGCTGAGATGCTGCCATCTAACAGCTCAAGCTATGAAACGTTCCAGGCGCAGAACAGGGAGCCATTTGCTGCACATGCAAACCTCTACAGCTGCCAGAAAACGAAAAGGCTTGGCAATGCTGTCTTGTGTTGATCTAAAAAGTAGGAAATGTAGCTTTTGCTCTTCTTAGGAGGTACCTGTAACAGGTAAATACACACGTACTCTCCCTCTTAATGACCTGCATCCTTCCTTTCCAAAACCCAGAAAGAGAACCTATCACCAGCACATTACTGCGTGTAGTAGTCTAACCCAAACTGTGCTTGCTTTTAGGATGATGACGTCGAGACTATGAAAGTGGAAATGCTGAGACTTGCTCTTGCACGAAATCTTGCACGAGTCATCGTCAAAGAAGGCACATTGGAAGGATCTTGAAGATGGCAGAATGTGATTTTTCTCTTTGTCTGTGGCTTACTGTACATAAACCTGACTGCTTTTCTAAGAATAAATGTCTTGTTTTGCATATTGCGTGGCCGTTTGTTCTTGTCTTCCGTAAAGATAACTTCAGAAAAATGTAAATGTAACTTTTAAGAAGGAGCTGCATCAAAACGTTAAGGTTACTTGTTCTAACGTGGCTTGGCAACCCTCCCCTGGTAAAGTAAACCTCATTACCAATGGCGGCACTACCTTGGCTTTTTCAGTCACTTTGCCTCTAATAACCAGAACCGAAATTAAGCCCACCTTGTAAACGACTGGACTTTTAGAAAACAGCAACTTCTCCATTTTTGCTTAGTTTAGATGGTTTTGAGATGACGGGTGGGGTTTTAGGATTTCCAGAAACAGCACCGTACTCCACAAGCAGTCGTTAGTAAGGGCTATCCACAGAGCAAAGTAGGGAAAACAATTTATTTAACATGCAGCAGAACAAATGCATTTGAGATGTATATACAGTTACGGCTGTTCGGTATGAAGCAGGAACCTCACCCTACAGACAAGGAACATTCATAGTTTAATTTCCAAAGCTTTTAACAATGGATTTCCACACAGCAAGACTATGGCATCTTTCCATTTGGCTGTACAGCGCAGGCAGTACGCTGCCATTAACACTGAGAACAAAGCCATTCTGCAGAAAGCACTTGTGCTCTTCTGACTTCCTCAAAGTCACAGTGAGATTCACGTGTAGGCATCTAAAGCAGTGAAACCTGCTTCCTCGGGACACACTACTGTGACCTAAGCACTACCCCTATGCCTACTGGCTCTAAAGTGCTGGCAAGAACATGTCTGAGGCAGAAAGAATTCTCTCCTTGTCCCTTATTAGTCCATCGATTTAAAACCGCATTGTTCAAGGATCCAAACAACGTACCCATCCCTTTCACCTGCCTTCTACATCAGGGAGCTGACAAGACTGGGGTCTTCATGAGCTTCAGACCAGAAGTTTACAGCAAGTTCCTCGGCTGAGCTTTGATGCCACCTTCAGGGGCTTCTACAACTGCCCGGTGCCTCTGATTAGGACCTCAGGCCTTTGAATCCACCGAGTTTTTCACCTCTAGTGATTTTTACTTTGCAACACAGTAAAGAAAATTCAACTACAAATAACTCCAAGCTGCATTTGCAGTAATGGGTTTTACAGCCGCCACTAATTCCAGCAGCACATTCTCCTCTGGAGTTTTCCTACAACAGGCAGGTGTCTCCTGTGTACTGATTTTCTTGGTGCTTTAGTTGACTGCTCCCACTCTTGGTTTGATAACAGCTGTTGCTCAACAGCACTGCTAGAAATGCTGAGCTTAGTGTCCAAGGACCTGCCCTATCTGTGCTTTTGTCAATGGATGTTAAAAAAAACCCCATTAATTTAAAACAGTCTGTCTCAAAGCTAGTTGAGGCACTGCTTGAGATTGGAAATCGAAAGGGAGAAGGAAGGGACTGCTGGAATCCAGTTTTGGTGTTTTAAACCTAGTTTCTGTGAGACCGTAGCTAGAGGGGTCAGCTCTTCTGCCCCCTGTTAGCACAGAACACTGATGTCCAGCAAAACTGCCTTCCCCCTTGTGGGGACAATTGCACTTAGCCACTTAATACAGGGAACAAATAAAACACGGCATTAAACCCAGCACATGCATCATCACAGCCCAGTGGAGACTTCTTTCCTTTCACTGTCTGCTTGTTTCTATTTAGATATCCTATAGCTCTATTATTTACATCTTGTATGTCATTGTACTCATCTCGATAAAACACAGTATTCAACTACAATAATAATACTGCCTGCATGAGGGGACGTGAGAGGCATCTCTCCTTATCCCTGGATTCAGTCACGGCACCTGATTAGTGATTGTAAAGACATTTCTGCGCTCCAGGTGCTGTCCTCCACCAATACTGACCACTCCTTTCCAGCCCTGTTCACCTCCTCACTACGCATTTCCTCTTTTCCCCACACTATGGAATGCAATGAAGGCAGAAAAATAACCAGTGTAACCATTTGCGTACAAAACTCAGTCCCAGCTGCTCAAAATGGATACAACAGGGAGGCAGCTAGCAATATAAAATAAATATAACTAAAGATACAGCAGCGTCACACAACACAGGGTGAGGGTCTGCTTACATTGGCCATTGGGAATGAAGCAGCGGAGGGGGAGGAAGGGAGCTAAGTGCCATTTCAGTGTAAAAAATAAGCATTCCCTCATGGAGCCAGCATTATTGCTCAACATGCTTAGCGGTTCCAGTCTGGCACTGAGGAGGGAAAAGTCCGAGGGAGGGCATGTGTAAGGGCTCTGCACTGAGGAAGCTCATGGTGGCATCATTACCCCACCAGCCTGTAGGTATCTCTGGACAGCAGGACAGGAACGAGCCAACCAAATCTCCTTCTGCTGACAGGTCTCCCCTCAAAATACAATAACTTCAAGTTTAATAGAGTGGAAGATAGAACCAGATTCACCCAGAGGTCAAGATAAAAGCAGCCAACACTGCCTGTTACTGGCTGCCACTCAGTTCATGCTTGGCATAAATGTTCCAGGACCCCTTCAATGTGGGGCAAAAACATTCTGGACTAAAGCTACAAGCAGAGTGGTCAGGACATGTAAACAAAGCTGAACATCACCAGTGGATAGCATGTGTGTCCCTCCCCACGTCACATTCATTCCAGTCCTGTGGGATCCTTTCCTGGTCCTGTCACAGAGTCTCTGGCAGTGTCCTAAGGTCATAGATTCCCCCACTGCTCTACCGGGGGAAACTGATCCACTTCGCCAACCTCTGTGCTGGGCTGGTCTCCCAGTGTGAAGGTCAGTCTGTACCTCAGCCTCACTTTCTCCTGCAGGAGAGACAAAACCCAAGAGCAACATGAGAACAGCCCCAGTTGCTCCCAAACAAAACATTTCACTGTTAGAGCTCTACAGAGAGTGCAAGACTTCTGTTGCACATAGCAGGGGGAAGAGGGCCAAGGTTAAGTTCATGGAGTAGTTCAGCTGTTTAGCAAAACCTGAGTTATTTACCTTACAGTTTTTATACCACAAAAGCTTTATTGCTTAGCATGGAACAGCACGAAAAAAGCATGAATGACCTGTGATATTTGTTTGCACATACGTGACCAGCACCCATTGCTCAGCTGCTCTCCAGTGAGCCTGAAGAATGCTGCTGGAATAGTTCAACATTTTCAAAATTAAATTCCTCATCATGTGGAAGAAGATAGAACAGTTCCTACTCTACAAAATTCCTAGTAAAACAGTAAGCAGGAGATGGAACCAGTCCTTCAATGTGGGCCCCTCCATGTACCTCAAAAGTTTTTCAACAATCCACCAAACCCCTCTGACATTTATCCTTTTGGATCTCAAAAGTTTTCCGCTGATACTTTAAGGACCCTTTTGCTGTAATTCTCAAGTAGTAACATCTAGATTTTTCAAATAATTAGAAACTACTTCAGCATACAGCTTTGAGCTTTATGGAGCAGGCTACTTAAATGAGTAACTACAGCAAGGAGAAACAGCTACTCAGATGCTCACAGCACAATCAGCAGTAAAGAAAGTGTTAACCATGTTGTTTCACTGGTCACAGGTACATCCTCAAAGAGTAATGGAACAGACACAATCTGACATTTGTCTGTTGGTTCAGGTCTGTCAGGCTATAGCCTCAACACAGAATAAGTATTTCTACAGCACCAGCTAATTTGACATCAATCTAATTATCACCAAAGCCAGGCACTTCCAGTGCACAAGGGAGTCAGACAAGCTCCTGATACAGCTCTGATTGCTACGCTGTATAGCTGAGCCTCATACGACCGTTGCCCTTTTGCTGGGAGAAATGTACAGGTCCTTCTCATAACTTGCTGACAAAGTCTGTCGGGGAAGAGCCTCCCTCTAGCCCTGAACTGAAACACCAACATTATGCAGCGACCACCTCTGGAGGGCAAGTTAGGAACAAACAGCTGTATCTGCTCAAATGTTTGGTCCAACCCCCCTGTAGAATTCAGCTTACATCAAATTTGTCTGACAAGCACAGGATAAATCCCACTGCCCCTCTCACCTTCATAGGATTTGCCAGAAGCATGACTTGGGTGATGGCAGCAGGCGGCTGGATGGGATTGAATGGAGACAGCTCTGTGCCAGAGGGTGGCTGTAACTTCACTTTCATGGACTGCAAATGAAAAAGAAAGCGGAACCTCAGGGATTATCTCCTACCTTGGGGACAATGAAAGATGCATGCACAGGCTGGGGAGATAACAGCACACATCCAAACTGAAGAGAATCCATCCACATGCGAGGATGAGGAAACAAGGGCCAGCCCAGCTTGCACAACATGATAGGAACAGGTAAACTGACAACAAGTCAGCCCAGAGTAAAAGCACTGGTCAGGTGAACACGAACAGCACCTTCCTATCCAAGTGCTCTTGTGTCAGAGGTTTTAATGCGAAGACCTTCATGACAGTAGGCAGACTGTAGCTGAGATTGGGCCAGTTTTCAAAACACAAACCTGGCCATCCAAAATGATCTAGGTGCAGTAAGACTAGAATGGAACATATTGTCAGATTTAGGATGTCTGTTAGAAATTCTGATTCTAAAGACCTCAAGGGTGGCTCTATCCATGTAACAGTCCTGTCATTGTGCTATCTGAGCCACCTTCATGAACAGATACAGCTGGACTGATCTTAGCAAGAAAAACAGAACTCTAACTATCTGCAGTTCTTGACTTATCCTATGTAGTGTTTTCTGCCTCTGACAACCACCTTTACATTTTTGAAACAGGCACAGCACAGCCTATAGAAAGGTAGAACCAGGCTGTCCAAGTCCCTGAGTTGACACCCAGGCCTTCCCAAATGCATGGTTTCATGTCACCGTGGGTCTGAGCCACGCATCCCTACCTTTGGCACAGCAGCCTGCAGCACAATGTTCTTCACAGGAAGCGGTGCCGTGTTCAGCATTGAGACTACCACAACTAGCACATCTGACCTTCCCGGCGGGCACTCCCTGGCAAAGTGCAAGAGGATCCGGAAGCCGTTCTTGTCATAGGCTGTCACCGGGAGGGCACTGCCTACCGCAGAGAGAAAAGGGGAGAGGAATGCAGGTTTATGCTGCAGAAGACAATCTGACTGTTCTGCTGGGACATCTCATCCTTTCTCTCTACTTCATAAGCTTTGCTTTTAAAAAATGTTCAGAGAAAGGTGAAAAACCTGAGATACTCACTGGGTTTAATGGATTCCAAGGGAACGTGGACATTGGCCAAAGAAATTTCAGGTGCTTTCATGGGACTGCCTTGCTGCTGGAATGATGCCGGCTGGAAGAGAGGACTTCCTGAGCCAGCAGTGCAGCTGCTTGGGAAAGAAATTGGAGGGGCTCCAGGGGCAGTGGCTGGCAGCCCTGCAGGTGCTATTAATGGGGCAGAGGTGACAGTGGTTGGCATAGTAACCCCAGGGAACACCGAGGGTGTTGCCATGCCTTGGGTGGCAGTCCTGGAAGAGAAACAGAAAAAAAATGGGAAACTGAGCTGAAAGTGGAGCAGGCATTTCACTGCAAACCCAAGATAACAGCAGATCACAAGGACAAAGCAGTGGCCCGGAGCTACAAGGAAAGTGGTGGTGGTCGGCTTAGACATTACTTCTCTAAGTCAAGAAGAAAGCAGAGTCCCACTTTGGCAAAGATGGGCAAGACTAAGATGGGCAAAGGCTTCTGTACTTTAGCAGCCTGTTCAATTTTACACCATGCATTTGTATCGGGCAAGAGTACAGCTGTTGTGCTCTACATAGTAGTGCCTGCCTTTCCCTCCCAGAGGTGGGACCCTTGTATTAGTTTGTAAGCTTAAACTCTCTGAGAAATCCCAATCACACATTCCTACCGAACCAGAGAGTTGAAAGTCTGCCTCTGAACCTGACAATCCAGCAACCTTGGCTTTCTAACTACAGAGACAAAGCAAAGTCCAGGACTTTTACTTACCCTTTGGCTTCTTCAAGGAGTTGTCCCAATGCATCCATCTTATGTGACATATTGCTCCCCACAGATGAGCTGAAGTACCCAGGAGCAGCTGCAATAGTCTTAGGAGGCCCCGAAGGGGCAGCCGGTCCAGCAGAGAATATGAATGGTGCTGAGTTTGGTGCTGGGATGCTGGGAGCAGTCTGAGAGGCTGTGAAAGCAGAGGGCAGCGTCACTGATGTTCCACATGTGGTCTGTGATGTGTGATGGAAGAGAGGATTCCCTGCAGGGTTGCAAGCAACAGTCACCATCTTCGGATTAAAGAAATCCAGGTCCAACTGGTCATTCTGAAAGAGAGGACAAGTAGATGCTCTAACTCACTGCTACCCCCTGTTGTAGATATGGCACTGTTACAGAGGGAGATAGATTTACCGCAAAAACAGGTGCTGGGTGGCAAGCAGCAAAGTCTGTGGCCTATGTCAGGACTACATCTGATCTGTAATTTAAGCAAAGGAAGTGCTAACATCATGGGGGACAGATGGGAAACTGAGAAAGCCAGGTTCAGGGATATCTACTCTGTTTAGACACAGCTATTCCAGAGTATAGGGCAAAGCCAGACTTCCCCTCAGAACAGCTGCCCTTCTGCCTGTATGTGTGATCACTTGTTTCTCCAAGGTGACAGAGCGTGTCCTGAGACCTCCCACAATGACAACCTCTCTCTCCCCTTCCCCTGAGACCCTCCTTCGTACCTCAAACATGCTCCATTGGTTGTTTTCTGAGGTCTCCTTCACTGCTGCAGGAGCTGGGTCATTCAGGCCTGAAAGGAAAAATAACAAGAAGGTGACTGGAGGAGAAAATGAGTTATGTGTCACCCCTTGGCAATTGTTTCAGTACCATCAAACTACTTGATTCAGCTCTGCCAGAGCCCAAGAACCTGACGGAAGACTGAAATGGGCTGCAAGTCTATGATGAGGAAAAGAGACAGACAGCACCAGTAGCTGACAGTCACCCCTTGCACACAGCTCTTCTAACCCTTCCTGATTTGCAGTGTCTTCTGCTGTTCACATCCAGGCTCCACAGGCAGGCACTGTGCAGGTTCCTATATGCAACCACTCTAAGGCACCTTGCTCTTTAGCACAGCTGCAAAGTCAGGGGTGAAACTTGTACCAAACTGCAGCCTGCATGTCCAGCATATCCAAGCACGTACAGAGATCAGACTGCAATTACACTCAACAGTTACTTCACTTGCAGCCTACTCTGGGAAGATCAGAGTTTTTAACACTGACGCATTGACCAGGTCTTACACTCAGGCTGATGTAAGGGAGTGTCTCCTGGACTTCTCTAGAAACCAAAGGCATCTCATGCTCCTTTTAGGCATGCCACATACACAGCCAGCCCTCACACTCATGCTGAAGGAAGAAAGCAGTCTTTGTTAGGCATGGACTGAGTAGCCCTTTTCTGGGCCCCTCAGTGTCTTACCTAAGCACAGAAGCTCCTCATCCAGCAAGGAGAGGGAGTTAGCCGTGCTGGTCTGCTGAGCGGGTGCGGCTTCCACTTGGCTAGAGGAACTGCTCCGCAACTGTGCGAACGTCTGGGGAGGCGGCGGGAGAATGGGGATTTCTGCTGGGGCTGGGGCTACTGTGGGGGCTGGCGTCAGGGTGGTAGGTGGCATTGGAGGCGGCGGGGTGCTAGTGACGTCCAATCCAGCAAGGTCAATGAGGGTGTTGAGATTACTTGTGGAGTTACTCCCTGCAGCAGACAGGAGAAGAGCACTACTAGGAAAGAAGGCAAAAGGCTCAGAGCAAACCCAATGTACAGAAGAAATTATCAGAGAGATGGTTTAGATAACACAGATCCTCATTTACTCATGGCTTATGGCTCTTTATAACAGAGAAAGCCCACATGCTTTCCATCTAACCATTTGCTGTCCACAAGCTACTTAAATCAACCCAGATACTTAGGAAATTTCTATATGAAAAGCAACACCTGCTCCAACCACTGCTCCTTCCCCAGTGCATCTTGTAGCACAATTCATAATCTTTTCAAAATCTTTTGAGCTCAGATGAGGCTTTGGGAGATCCTACAGAATTACAGTAAACAAAGGCTACCAGAGAGCTAGAGAGCTAAGGAAAATTTATACTGTCTGGACCTTCGTATTTAGAATAGTCTTGTCCCAATAAGTTGCTGTCAGGCAGTATTATTCATTCCTCTACTGTTCTCCAAAAATGTTTAAGTGACTCCCAAATGGTAATTCTGTCACACACATGTCCAGAGCTTTCAATGATGAAGCTGAAGTGTAAAGTGGGCAACTGGCCTAAATTCACAAATGGAATTGCTGGCAAGGCCAGGAACAGGACCCCTGGCCTGCCTCCCACTCTTCTGCTCTTGTCCTTTTGATAAAATCATCTTCTTACATGTCACCATTAAGAAACAGGACAAATGTGGAGAGGAAAATGTATGAGAACTTCCAGTCACACAAACTGTTCAGGTGCAGGTTTGCTACTGATGTTATCAAAGGTTTCAATAATATGGAACGACCAATAGTAAATGCAAAGCTGCAGCACTGTTGCTCATGTCCAAGATTGTTTATCCACTGCTAAGGAGCTGTCCTGTCCCCCTCTGATTCACAAACTGTTGGCCACAAGAAGCATCAATAGCCTACTTTACCACAATTAATAGGAAACCCTGTCCAAAAGACTTAGAATTGCAGGATTCAAAAACTACCCAGTTGGCTTCCCAGGAACTCACCTTCCACTACAGACATCACAGGGAGATCCACTTCACCATTGATCACTTGCCCCTCTATTATTTTTTTATAGGAATTTATCACACGGGATAAATTGTCACTGGCCTGCAGAATATCCCCTACATGCAAGAGAGACAAAAACGACCTCCAAGACTTTAGTCATGTTGCTCCCGCTAATGCTGAGATTACTCAGTTATCAACTAAATAATCAGCAAGAAAAAACATCATTATTTGGCTATAAGCTACATTACTCTGTCTTTGCCATGCTTCTCTAAGCAATACCCTGACCTTTCTAGGTCCATGCACATTACAGTAACAATGGAAAAATGAGTCCAAGGCTTTGCTCCCCACAGCAACTCCCCTCCCCTTCCAAAGCAGCAGCTGTTCCCCATTATTGCCCCTAGCCTCCCTAACCACCAACTCTACTGTCAAGCCCTTGCCTGAATTTAAATTATAAGCATGAAGAGGCAAGGCTCTTGTCTTTTATCTGCTTGCGCAAAGCAAAGTGCATCCACAGTGAAGAGGCATCTTTACAGCAGTCGTTCCCTTGCTGAACTCTTGGACAGTCACAGGTTGCAAAAGCAATTAAAAAAGAAGTGTAGCTTAGTTTACCCAAACTGCTGTCATTATCCTCTGTCTCACTGGCCAGCTTGAATAATGTCCGTCTTTTGGTTTCACACCTTTCATAGAGCTCCTAGGAAGACATATTAGGACAAAGGGTTTCATCAGCGAGGAGCCACTGTCAGCAATCCCAGTCAGCATAGAGTGACTCTCCAGGCATGCACTGGAAAGTCCAGAACAGAGAAACCAGTCTCCCTGTGTTGAATGTGCCAGTGTGGCTGGACAACCAAGATCCCCTGTCCCTGCCCTATTTACAGGGCTGTGAAGCATTACATTAGCCTGGGAGTCTAAACACAACCTGCATTTTCAACACAACATCTCTCAGTCCTCCCTCACATCAGCACTTATGGCCAGCTCTAGTCCAAAAGAGATCTAGTCCAAAAGTTCTTTGTATTACAGTAGTCCCTAAAAGCCCAAGGAAGAGCAGAATTGTGCTTCAACAATTATGCTTCAATTGTGCCACAACCACTACTCAAGAGAGCCTGCAACTACATGGAAGAAAGGTGGCAAGAAAGAAATGTTTCACAGAAACAAACCAGTTTCTTTAGCTTCTTACTATCGTTTCAGGAGCTTGTTGTTAAAAATGAGTAGTTTTAACTTTTTTAATTAGATAAGGTGCAAGTCTTCAAGGCCCTGGGCCTACCCAACCATCCCTGGTGGCTGTTTCGATTTTTACGTTCTTGACTTTCTCCCAACCTTGTAACACCAGCTAAAACTCTTCCTTTGAAGGGGAGGACCTATTTTCTGCCCCATTCAGCCTTTAGTTTATCCATCCACAGTGCTGTAAGGGACAGTTATAATCTACAATCAATATGTCCTAATAGGAGCAAGAATTACAAACTGCAGCTTCTCGATTCTGCCACGCTGCAGCTTTGGAGAACAGCTGTACCTCACTTCAAGCATGTGCAAAACTGAGCTATCACCCATGGAGTCCTTTGGTGAAAGGCGTTAAAAACATGGTTATTTTCTTTCCTGCTGTTTCCCACAACTGCTCTTGTTTCTCGCCATTGTTCTCCATTTTACTGCACTGTTTGTAATTCTCTGCAAAACTCAGTCTGTAAGAAGAAAGGACTGACTCTAGGATTTCTAGCAAGGAGGAGCAGCTCAGACCCACCTTCATGAGCTCCCTATCTGCCTCTGATGAGTCCTCTTTGCTGTAATGAACCAACATCTCATTCAGCAGCTTCACATTGTTATTCACTTCCTCCAGCGTGTGCATGCGTTTTGTCACTTTTTGAATCCGAGCCTCATCCTTCAGGGTATAAAACAGACATAAAAAGTGAGTTTCCCTGTAAAGGTCCACAGTATCACAACAGCAGGTATTGTCTGTAAATCATGTCAAATGATGTCTCTTTAAGCTTAAGCTAGGAAAAAAAACCAAAAAAAACAACCAAAAAGCCTCTCCATTCATGTGAAGTTTTGTTTATTATCTTTTCACCACCATTCTGAAATGATAGAAAACCCCATATTTCAAAAAAATCTCATTAAATAGACTTTAATGTATAATTATACCACTAAAAATAGAGAAGTTCCCCAAAGTTCCCTTCTGACCTTTTCAGAGGATTTTTGTGTGTGTGTGTGTGTGTCACTTGATGCCATTTTATGAAAAAGATGTGTTTGAAGCAAAACATTTACTAGGAACAACAAGCACTCTCTGGTAGAAAATGTCCACCCAACTCTGACTTGAGATTCCAACTAAAGATGTAGGAGAGTCTGCCCTGGGGACAAGAGGAGCTTGAATGGAAACATTTCAGTAACCTATACATCCTTTTCAGTCTAGAAGCTATCCTTTTATTTTTTTTACCAGAATCACAGTGAGTCATTTCCTGGACTCCAGAGTTTCTAATGACTGCCATGGGTGGGTGCATCACAGCTCTACAAACAGGAAGGTGTTTCCATGAAGCCTGCTTGTGAGAAGACCCAGTCCAATGACTCAGTCCTCAGTATCCAAGGGTGGTACTGCGATGCTCCCAATAAACCCTGACATGAAATACCATCTTGAGTGATGGGAACATAGTTAATTACAACAAGGGTCATTCAATCCTTACCCCTTCTTCCCCTGTCCTCCACCCCAGAGACACCAACTGTAGACATTTTTGTGATACAAACATCTCCCAGTTGCAAGCTGGAGTCAAAATTACACCACGTTCATATCACACAGAGCCCTACTAAGTCATCAGATGGCATCCCCTTTATGGCGTCAACCACAGGGACTAGATGCAAATGAGCACTGTTAGCAGTTTTAAAAAAATAGTAAAAGGCTGGATGTCGCTGATGGTCAGTCTCATTCAGTCCCCACAACTTAACTAAGGAATGTACTAATACAATGCTCCCAGAGCCTGAAAACCCCAGGTTCTGCCACTGACCTGATCCTAAAGCTCTCCACCATTTTGAAGTCAAATTGCTTAAAAACTCGAAAGCAGACTGCTGACTGGGACCAAACCTACAGGAATTTCTTACCTCTTTTACCATGGATTTTATAAGCTTGTTGGCCTCTTGTAAATCATCTGGGTTTTTGCTTTTCAGCAGTTTGGCTAGAAGCTGTAAGACGGGAAGAGGATATTCAGGAAACAAATAAAGACCGTTGGCAAAGGGAAGCAGTGAAAGGAATCTAAGTGAAGAATTCATGGGAAAAGAGATACAGCCCACTATTACAAAGCTTACAGTGCTTTCATAGTTAGTGTCTTCAGCAGGAGTCATTTATGGTTTATTATTTTATGCGAGTTGCTGCATTCTTGCTTCTACACAGGACATATAGTGTGAAATCTCAGAGACAGATCTATCTGACACTAGATAAGCATTCCTCACATACATCATTTCTGGTCGTGTGCGTGAAATGTTCTCTGCCTTCTAGTACTACTGCAGGATGGCACTTTAACGAGGAATAACCTCATAATGGTAACACAGACAAGGCCTTAACTGGAACTTCAAGTTAGGTAGGTGGACAAAGCAATGAGTTATGTGAAAGTACACACCACCACCCCCAAAATTAAAAGCTGAATTAGTATACTTCCTTATTCTAAATGTGCATTGAGTAATCACTTTTCATTAGTGATGATGATACACGTCTTCACTGTACCTTGGATTTCTCCTCATCATCAAACACAGGGTTTTTGGGACGAGGTGGTGGAGAAGGAATCAGGGTTCTGTCTGCAGGAATCACAGGATCAAACATAACAATCCCTGAAAGCAGAAAGGGAACCCACATGGGTTTGCACATGCAGTCACACCAGGCAGTGCACCCAGTTATTCACAGGCTGCTATCAAAGCGAACACGCAGTCAATCTGTCCATTGATACTAGCACACTGTTCCAATGAACAATACAGGATCGAAATCACTGAGCATGCTAGCTGTAAAAACAAAGAAAGTTTTCTTTGATAAAGGCCAAAACCCCAGCAAATGTGTTGCCATGTCCATATTGCTCCTCTAATAGCTCAGTATAATCAATAGCTCTCCACTACTTGTCTTTCCCCCTTTCACTTTACCTGTTAAACCACTAAGTGAAGTCGCAGACAACCCAGCTTTGTGCAAACTCAAGGCCATGACGTTTGTATAAATGAGCTGAGCAGGAAAGCAGACAGCAGCGCAAAACAGGGTGATGAGCAGACTCCTAACCACGAGTGGGGAAAGAGCTAAGCTCCCTGCTTGTTCCACTGTCAAATCCTTAGATTTGTGCTCCAACTAAAGAGCTTTCCTGGAACCAATTTTTCTTGTGTTGAAGCCACATGCTTCTCAGCTGAGCTTTTTTCACTGTGCCTACACAAGAAATTTGTATCAGCTGAACTAAAGGCACAATTGTGAAGCGACCTAGTGAAAAGAACACAAAAGACTACATGGAGGCTCTTATTTCACTTTAAATTAGACTTGTTCAAATCATTTAATAGCTATTTCCAGAAAACCTCAAAAAAAGGCCCTGCAAACCAAAACAAAAGTATTTGCAAGGTGTTTAACTACTCTAGTTAAAAAAGCCAACCCAACCCAGCCCAAGGCATTTAAATATAATGAGAAGCTTTTCAGGGTATCTCCTCCCTTGTTCTGTCTCCCCTCAGAGCTTCCCTTGAGCCCATATAACTAGAAGCTGTATATTTTGTGACACTCCTGCTTAAAGCACAGGATGGAGAGAATGGATGAATGAGCAGCTGACTTCCTACCTTGTCGCTTCAGCATGTAGTAGGCATCCTTGATTTTGGACTCTTCTGGCAATGCCACTGTCCAGCTATACAGCAATTCAATGACTTTGGTCTTCACCTTCTCTGAGACTCGGTCTCCCAGGTACTACGAGTGGAAAAAAGATGTAAATTCTCCACATTCTTAATTTCTTTTTAAAAACAAAGTCCAAACCCAGAGAATGGAAGTTCAGTGATATGCATTAAAAGGTGTATAATCCAAGTTCCAAGATGATATAAGATACATCTTATTAAGAGGAAAAAATGCTCCTCTAATATATTTGAAATAACAGTGAAGAGAAGCTTTGTGATAATCTTCAGCAAAAGGAAAAGCAGCTATACTGTTGGTTTCAGGATTTTGCTAGTTAAAAATTACAGTAATACAGATGACCACCCCTGTCTTATGGGAAAGAATACGGGAATACTTTGCTGCATCAATCATGCCATAGGGTACCTCTGTCTATTTTTCACCACATCAAACTGATCATGAATGTTGAGGGACGTAGCCAGGCACTCTTTACACAGCAAGTTGGCAGCAGAGTGAGGACTGGAACTCTAGGGTGTGTTGCCAAGTCTCTTGTTTTAACTTCTGCATCACACTTCTCTTCCACTAATGCTGGAGTTTTGTTTGTTTTTTAAAAAAACACAGCTCAAGCTTTAGAAGCCCTTGAGTTACACGAAGGATTGGAATGGTACAGAGACTATATACTGATGGTAAATAAGTACAACTTACTGAGAAAAATAGTAAGCAGAGCACAACAAACTAACAAACAAAAACTTAGCTAACAAGTGCTCTTGAATATAGGCTAATAAGTGCGATGAGCCAGACAGAGCACTGCAAACATTTTGGATGTTGCCTGCAGCTTATTGAGGCCAAACAAAAAGTAAATACAGCCATAAGGCTCAGGGACTAACCTTTGGAGACACAACTTTTATTAACTCGTTTAAAAAGCGAAACTTCCCTACTTCATTATGAAATCTTCTCCCACAATTCTTCATACAAGCTTCCAGCACCTGCATTCAAGTAATAAAAACAGGGGCTGAAATCAACACCAAAACCCTGCAATAACAGCGTAGCTGTGTTCTGCTTATTGGGGAATGGAAGGACCCACATCAGTGGGACACGTATTCCTGCTCTGCAATACAGGCATGAATCTCCCATCTTTAGGGGTGACATATCACAGCAGGCTGGTCTCCCACCCTCAGCCATGTATATATGGGTCTAAGTTACCTCACCATCAGGTCTCATAACAATGAGCACAAATCTTGCCTGAAAATAACAAATGAAAGCAGCTAAAACTAAACCAGAGTTTTTTTCTGACTGCTCTATTGCTAATGAGCAATCTGGACACTTCAGTTATGTAACTGTGCTCCCTCTCACTGCCCGCTCTCTCCCAGCAGAGGGGAATCAGGGCATTCAGCCCCACAACTAGCCCCAGGTAACCCCACTGACACACACTGTGCCCCCTTAGACTCCACACAGATGACATAAAGTGATATATAACTGGATTTAAGAGGAGAGGTAAGGACTACCTACTGTCAATGCCTGGACTGCCTCCCATTCCTGTGGCGACTGGATTTTATGAGCCAGAAGTCTCACAGCTATCTGTGGCCTGAAACAAAGCAGATGCCCATTACAAACAAAGCAGGCAAACACACTGAAGGATTTTCAGACTTTCACAAATTCTACTGTTTAAACAAGACGCCTTTCACATAATTATAAGGGAATGCCATTTAGTACTTTTCATTTTTCCATCAGTGTACAAAGGCTAACAAGAAAAGCTCAGTGCATCTTCATAAGCCTGGGTGTTTGCACATACAAAAGGAAGTGAGGGCTGGTAGTCTGAGCCAGCAATTCCAGATTCCTGCTTGGGAGGGGCCAAACAACTCCCAGTACAGTCCCCAGCCCAGGAAATCACTTCATTTCTCTTGCATTAGTTTCCTTTTTCCAGAAGAAAACACTTCTTCCTTAGCTCACAGGAATGCTGTGACCCAGGAGGTTTCCTCAGTGAAGCCTTGTGAAGATTTTAAAGACATGAAGCCCCATCAAGCACTAAGAGTTATAACCCCATTTTACAGACTGACGAACAGACTGGGTTTGGCTAGATGAGAACCCTGCACCTGCAGAAGCTGACATTAGAGGCAGATTCAGAATTCCCTTTTTCCTAGTGCTCAGTCTGTATATAAGCCATGCTGCCTTTCACAAAAGAGAAACCACACTTTGCAGCATCTTGTTTCTTTTGTAGACAGATCGTCCTTGCAGTATCAGAAAACACAAAAGTTTGATGATCAGATGATATATTTTAAACTGTGGATGTTAATTTTTTAAGTCTAGAGCGGTTTGGGACACCCACCCTTCAAGTTCTTTGTTGATCTGGTCACAGAATCCGATGATGTATTCCCAGTCTTCTTGCCTGTTAGATGGGTTAGTGGCTTTATCTTTGGTAAGGGAAAGAGAACATATTACCAATCAAGCAAAAGAAACAGTATAAAAGGTCACGCATTTCCTAGAGAAAAGCATCTGACATCTGTTACCAACTATAAAAAAAGGAGAAAGAAGTTCACACATGGTATGTCTGTTCAGGGAAAGGGTGTGTCCAAGTTGAGACATCCAAATATCCAGCAAGAATCACTGCTTTCCAAAAAAACAGGTGCCAAATCTCAAGAACTTAGAAACATGCTATTTCCACACTCCAAATGAGAGTACAAGATAAAATATTTGAGCTCACACAGTTTCCCTCTGCCTGAAATGCTATATCTTTCTATTCGGCTATAACATTAAACTTCTTAAAGGCTAAACCCTCACACTTTCTACATAGGAGATTATTTTTGTATTCCCTGGGAGTTTTGTAGAAGTAAGAGCTGGAACATCAGATGTTTAATGTAAGTCATTTAGCATTAACACTTGTTTTTGGAGTACCAGCTGATTTGTTAGATGCCTTAGCATTTCTCCTGGAAATTATGAACTGAATTTTATTATTATACATTGAGTTGTTCTTGCAAGTAATAAACACCACAGCCTGTACCGAATCAGGAATTCAAATCCTATATGATCAAACTGAGACTGATGCTCTACTGACTGGGCTATTTCAGGCTCCTGAAGGATCCTCCCTCGGGTACCAGGGCTTCATTCATTGTACTGATTGCGGAATAGTGAGGCTATCGGCATCTTTTTTTGTTATGAATGCATCTTCTCTATGTATTCTGCTTAACTCTGATGGAGCACTGAATTTACAGTAGACAAGATTCCTGCTTTAACCTAATTTTCCAGCCAAGATGACCGGACATGATGATTTTTCTTTCTTGTAAGGGAAGAAATAATGCACTGTAGCTATATATCTTCGGGCTGGCATTTAAGAAGCCTTCCTCAAAATTTTAATACAATGAAAAGAGATACAGAAAAGAAAATATTGCTTAGCCAGATAGTATAGAGCAGGGGATGAAGGACAGGAAAAAACCCAGCATACATCCCTGTATTTTCATCATAGAGGGAGGCATAACGAAATAAACACAGGCTAATTTACAAAGTGTCATTTTTTTGCCATCATTAAAACATATCCTTTTACCTTTCCAGAGGCAGATAAAAACAGCTGTCAAACATATACTCTGAAACCTCACTGTCACAGGGCACTATAGTCCTCCTACTGTGGCAGTCCTACAAGGTTTGCTCGTATTTTCCTCCTCACAGAAGGATAGTTGTAAAGCAATTTTGTAAATTGTTCCATGGATTGCATCTGCAGAGGTGAATCTCTGTGCCCACTGCTGACTTTCATGGGACCCTAGATAAGCAAAAGGCGGCAGCCAGGGAGGACCAAGTGTAGGATCACATCTTGTTGTACAAGCTAAGCTACCAAGCTATTTTTTGAACTCAAGAGCTTCAAGGGAGGCTTAGTTTAAAATGCAGCTGCTGCAGAGCCAAGCAACTGTTCAAAACATATGTGGCACTTAAACCTTATTACCACACTCACAACTGCTGAATACCCTGGAAGCATCATGAAACCGTGGACTTATAACAATCTAGAGTCTTTTCATGCAAGTCAAATGACATTGTGCATGGTTCGGTGCTCCAAAGCACCTCTGCTGCTCTGCAGGTCTAGATGAAAGAAATACAGTTCTTGGCTGGAGTTAATGGAATTTATTTAATAAATACAGTAAGAGTACAAACAAGTAAATTCACTCAATTAAATGAACTACTTGTTGGTTGCACATCCTGAAATTAGGAAAGAGATCTGGTACAAACAGGAAAACGTAACCAACATTTCCTTGCCAAATTTTATTTTTAAAGCTGTTCCAAATCTCTCCGAAGATTTCTTGGAATGACACTGGATTATTTCACACTCTCAGACTGGGTTCAGATTCATCTAGTTTTTTGCACCAAAAGCTCTCACATAAAGATAGTAAAGTCTCAGAAGGAGAGGGAGATTACTGAAGGGAAGCTATGTTCCACATGAAGAAACTCCCTATTTCTAACATTCATAAAATCTTCATGTGAAATCCTAGTTCATAAAAGTTAAAAAACTTGATCAGAAGTCCTGCCCTGGCTCTGGAGATTGATGTGTCTGCATGACACAAGTCAACGGTGTGTATGAATACTTATTACCAATCTCAGTACAGCCACATGAACACAGCATCCCAGACAAGCTAAATTACCTTGCCTAATCTTTTCAGGACATCCCTACATGAAGCTGCATCATGCCTATCAAGGCATAACTTAAAATCCTCTATTTTTATGCAGAATGCTTAAAATGTGGGCAGGGAGCTCCTCTGCACTGCCTTATAAATATCCTTCAACCCTTATATGAAAGGATTTGTTCCAGGAAGAAGAGTTTGGTGCTCTGGAATATCAAGTCCTTGGCCTCTCTGTTGAAACTGCCAACAAAGGCCCATTTGGTACCAGTTATAAAGTTTGGTTTCAGAGACGCTTGTCCATCAGGTCCCATCCTGAAAATCCCATTTCACGTTGGCAACCAAGTGAATGTGATTGGCAACCTGGGAACAAAAGTCTCAGCACTACCCCAGACCTGCCACCATCTCTGCCTTAGCTTTCAGACACCGCTGCACTTAGGACATATAAAGTTGCTTCATGCTTGACCTAAGCGTCAGAGCCATTCCGCCCTCAGTTGCCCTGAAACGCTAATGAGTCAACATTCAGATGCATCATTAGATATGAAACAAAGGTGCTTATTTTCTCTGTAGAGAAACAATGTTGGAATGCAGAGAACCACAGAACATTAATTGACTGGTAATGAATGCTCATATTTTCTTGGGTTTACTTCTCTACTGGAGTGAGACAAAAGCCATCCCAACAAAGGGTTTCCCCAGATCAGGCTTAGCATATGAATTGGGAATCTCCAACCCAGGCATGTTGAGTCTAACAGTTGGATACTGTTTGTATCCCTGGAAGGAGAAGCAGAATGCTGACCCATGACAATATAAGGAAAAAACAAAGACAAATCATAGTATTTTATCTGTCTGCATCTATTACATACCTGGACATTGCCTAAGCCTGACACGAATGTGATACAATAAACTTCCTTTTGGATGCAGCAGAAAAGGCATCGCTAAAGTCAAAGGATCCAGCTGTGTTTGTACAACTGACATCTCTAACCTCCTCTTCTATTTCAGCCAAGTGCAGAAGAAGAGCTGGCCAGCAGGGAGAGAACAGAAAGGATCACCCTTTCTCATCCCAGCTGCCTGAAATGAGGCAGGAGATATGAAGATGCTACATCATCACTGGCTGAAGTGCAGATCCTGCTGCAGCATTAGGACACGAGGATGATGTTACTTCATGGGTCTATGACTCCACCTGATGACAGAGACAGGGCAGCGTGGAAGGCTGCATACCACCGGTACAGAAAAAAAATAAATCATTGGCAATAAGAAATTTTCCATCTTCCTGTGACTGGGAAGTTGGTTGTGCTGCTGAGCAATTCTGGCCCTTCCCTTTAGTAAGGGCACAGCAGGTGCACACCCTCAAGGTTAGCATTAGACACGGAACAGCTTTGTGATGGTTACAAGAAAAAAAACCTCAGGAGGCCTGGTGAAAGCACTCAGATGCAACAGCCTTTGCACTCTGCCTTCCTGGTCTGCACGACTCCTCCGGTAATTTACGTACACTAAATGCTCCGCGCTCCCCTACAATGGGAGGAGCGATATAATCACACCAGCACAAATCACTGTAGCAGTGACCTGGCATAAATGCACCCTCTGAAATGAGAGCAACACTCAAGCCTTGAAAAATGTGTACACCTCTGCAATCAGGCTCACTGCAATATTTCTTAGAGTGAGTAAGGCCTTTGCAACACTACCCTTTAGCATATGTTCTCTGGTGCAGAATATCCTACTGCTTGGCCAAGGAGAGATAACTTCTCTCTTAACTTCCACAATTAAAAAATAATCCCATGAAACAAACAGTCAGGAAGCTTTCCAGGCTATACAACCTAAAATATTCTTCCTACTAGAGAGATTTTCACACACAAAGTGAACTTGGTGAGTCAGTTCTCCTCAGAGAAAGATTAAAAGGAAGGGATGTGGGTGTTTCTTCATGTGTCTCACTGGCTACAATAAAAGATATTGACAAACTGTGGGAGTTCAGAGGAGGAGCAAAAATGGTAAGGGGACAGAAGGGATTGATCTAGAATGAGAAGAGCTGAAAACATCATTTAGCCAGTAACTCCTATAACAGGTGATGATACCATGTATGTGTTTGAATTTTATATAAAAATACCAAGAAAGAACAAGAATTATTTAATCTTGTTTATGGAAGGATAACTCCAAAAGGGTACAGGTTTTATACTTTAAGGTATTTATCTTCTGCTGTTTGCCTAGTGCCCGACTACTTAGGAACTTCACTCACTGCTGTAATCAAACAAATAACTATTAAAAAAAGAAGGAAAATCTAGACAACAAGCTAGTGATGTGCAGGATAACCTCCCACGGACAGCAGCAAGAACCCCTGTGCGTGGAATATCTGAAAAACAATTACTGTTATGACTGATTCATTCAAGAATCACCTCCTGATCCGCTGGTGCTGGGTCGGGATCCTGCAGCGCTAGGTTCTGTACAGCCAACAGCCAAAAAGCCAGCCAACTCACGGGCAGCACTGACAGACAGATAATGAGGAGATACTCACCAAGTGCTGTGGGTGAACAAGCCATGTTTTTTGGCTCCCCCCTGCCCCCCTCTCTAATGTTTAAGATTCTGTGATAAAAAATACCTTATCTTGACAAAGGATTTTTAAATATTCCAGTCTGTATGAAATGGGCATCCATAACTCCTACCCTGAAACTGCAGCTAGGCATAAAGCAGAATTTGTCTGCTTGAAAATCACGGTTGTATAACACATGAATACAATTTATTTGGGAAATCCCTACAGTTCTCAACCTTGCAAACAGCATTAAGGCTGTAGACTTAGCTACCAAAATCCAGGTGAGGGAAGACGAGGCAGCAGGAACAGACATGTACCATGAACCTTTAGGTCAAAAAAAAAAGCAACAGCCTTGCAGGTGCCGAGCAAGGTGAGCAACAAACCTGCCCACTCCTCACGCCTCCCAACAAGCAAACCGATGACCGGACCCAAACCGCTGCTGTGCCCCTACAGCCACAGTTCTGCATCTCTCCTTCGCCGATGCTGTCGCGCCGAGGACGCTGGACACCAGAGCGGGCGAGTCGGTGGCAGTGAGCACCGGCAAGATGGGGGGGCCTCACCCCTTCCCCCCCCACCGGGAGGCCGCATCCCCGCGCAGGCGGAGGTCTCTGCTCCGGGGGACCGTCCCCAGGGGGCTCACACCCCCCTCACCAGCCTCCCCTGGACGGCACCGCCACGGCCACGGCCAGCTCAGGGCCCCCCCGCCTCGCTGAGGGGGGCGGCG